GGACCTGGACTTTTCTTTGTTGATAAGTTTTTAATTACATTTTTAATCTCATTAACTGATATTGCATTATTCAGAATTTTTATATCTCTGGTAACTCATACATATCTGTCCATTTCTTCTGTGTTTTCCATCCTATGAGAGAAAAGATTTTTTAAATAGGTATTGATCTTGTGAATTTCCACAGGATCTGTAGTCACCCTTTTCATTCCTTAGTGCATGAATTTGAGTCTTTTCTCTTTTTGATATGGTTTGCTAGTGTTTGTCAGTTTTATTTATTCTTTCAAAGAATGAACTCTCCAATTCATTAATTCTTAGTATTGTTTTCTTAGTCTCCATTGTGTAAATTTCTATTCTGATCTTTGTAATTTCCTCCCATTAGGCTTACCTTGTACTTCGTTTTCTAGAAGCTTAAGGTGCAACATTAGGTTGTTTATTTGTGCTTGTTCTGTTTTCCTGATGTCAGAATTCACCACTATAAATTTCTCTCTTAGGACGGCTTTCATTGCCTCCCATAATTTCTAGTATGTTGTATTTGCTTTCTCATTCAGTTGTAGATACTGTTTAATTTCTTCTTTAATTTCATCTGTGACTCACTGGTTGTTTATGAGGGTGTTATTTAATTCCATGTGTTTATGGGGTTTATATGGTTTCTTTTCATTGATTTCTAGTTTCATTACACTATGGTCAGATAACATGCATGGGGTAATTTCAATTTCTTTTCATTTACCTTCAATTTCTTTTCATTTACTTTCATTTCATTTCATGTTCTGTGGGCTAGTATGTGGTATGTTTTAGAGAACATCCCATGTGTAGCAAAGAAACATTTGTATTCTGATGATGTTGGGTTGAACAGTCTGAAACCATCTACTAAGTCCATTTTATCACACGTTTGGTTCAGTTCTGATATTTTGTTGCTGATTTTTTGTCTAATTGATCTATCTCTTTTTTACCATGATTTGGTCCCCCATTACAATTGTGATTTTGCTCAATTTTTCATGTCTATTAATAATTGTCTTATATAGTTGGGTGCTCCCATTTTTGGTGCATACATGTTTATGATTGTTATCTCTTCCTCTTGAAGTTTTCCCCTCAGAAGTATGTCTTGACATTCTTCATCCCTTCTGATAATTCTTGGTTTGAAGTTCACATTGTCTGAATACAGAATTGCTACCCCTGCTTTTTTCTGGGTTCCTGTCACATGGAGTATTGTTTTCCATCTTTTGCCTTTCATTCTGTGAGTTTCTTTGTGAGTTACATGTGTTTCTTGTAGATAACATATTGTTGGATCTTGTTATTTGATCCCTTCTGCCAGTCTGTTTCTTTTGATTGGTGAATTGAGACCATTTACATTGATGGTTGTAACTAATATGTATTGACTTATCTTTGTCGTGATATTTTCCTGCTGTTGGGTCCCTGCTTTTCCCCACTGTTTAATTGATTTCCTTGCCTGGTGGTTTCTTTCTTTTGTTGTTCTTGGAATTGTGGTCATTTTTATCTCTGTTTGCAATATCTTTCATTACTCTTTGTACGGTTGGTTTGGTGGTTATGAATTTTTTCACTTGTTCTTTGTCAAGGAAATGTCTTACTTCTCCATTAATTTTGAAAGATAGTTTTGCAGAGTACATCAGTCTGAGTTAGAAGTTCTTTTCTCTGAGGACTTGAAATACTTTACTCTAAGCTCTTCTTGAGTATTTGTGTTGAGAAGTCTGCCATGATTCTGCAGGATTTTCCTTTATAGGTGATCTGTTTCTTTTCTCTAACAAATTTCAATATTCTGTTCTTGTACTGAATTTCTGGAATCTTGATTATTATATGTCTTGGTGTAATTTTATTTTGGTTATGGCTGTTTGGAATTCTATATGCTTCATTTAGTTTTTGTCAAATTATCCTCACTTGGGAAGTTTTCTGCTATTATTTCTATGAAGAGTTTTTTTTATGGCATTTGTGCTTTCACCAGCTTTCTCACTGACCCCAGTCAATCTTATCTTACTCTTCTTTGTGTCATCTTGTAGCTTGATTTTTCATAGTCTGTTGCTATTTTTATCTTTCTTTTCATGATCACTAGTTACACTTCTGTCTTCAAAATTTGATATTCTGCCCTCTTCTTTATTGAGTCTGTTGCATATAATTTCAATGCAGGTTTTAATCTCTTGGGTTTCTGCTTGTATTGGTTTCATGGATTACATTTCTTTCCTATGTTGAGCATTTTTTGTTTCCATCATTTTTCTAAGTTCATCTGTTCTTTTATCTGTGTCTTCTCTAATATCTTTGATTTTAAGCATCATTTCTTTTTGTACCTGAACCTTTTCCACTTGTTTTTTCACTTCTGTTATTATTTCAGAAAGTTCCAGTGTTTGACTTCCAATTTCATCTATGTCATTGTGTTCCAGGCTTGTCCTAGGGGGAGTGGGGATCTGAAGTTGCATTTTGCTTCTATGTCTTGATCATTTTCTATTTTCTCTTTTTTATTTTGCTTTCTGTGTTGATGCTTACTGATTTCTTATGATAGCTTTATCACTAGTATTGAAGCTTCCCAAGGAGACATCTGTTCTTCAGGGATGTCCTCTAGATGTTGATGGTTCTTATAGCTATCCCTTGAATCTACCTTCCCAATTTGTAAAGGAAGCAAAGTTACTATTTGGCTCAGCCTCAATTCTTTGGTACTGGGTTGTGGTGGTGATTATGACTCCATACAGTCATAGGTTTATCATACAGGGGAGAAAACCCAATTATAACATGTGTGACATCCTAGCTGAAGTAGTAGTTAGTAGTAGCAATAGTTTCAAATATGGCTTGACTATTGACAAACTAGGGTAACCATTAACCTGCTACCTCCAACCACAGAAGCAAACTCTAACATTATATAACAAAGTCAAACATATATCATGTACTTGTATGCAGTGATTTTCCCATTAGGGGAGTGATTTTTTTTCCCCTTTTGTGGGGAGGGGAGTTTAAATTGGGTAGGGTACAGGATAAAGTGATGAATGATGTCAAATTTAGTGAGTCAAGGCTGTAGATCAAAGGATGATTGCCTGAGTTTTGGAAAACTGGAGGACACAAGGGGGAAAGAATGAAATAAAATGTGAAGGCATAATCAGAAAGGGAAAGGACAATGTTTAGTCACTTGAAAGTTTAAATTCAAAACATAGTTGAGGAAAGAGAAAGAAGATCTATAGAATTAAATGAAAAAGATAAGAAACATAAACAGTGAAACAAGAAGGAAGAAAGAGGAGAATGCCAAAAAAAGGAAGAAAAGAAGAAAAAATGTAGACCTGAGAAAGAAAGGAAAGAAAAGGAAAAAAAAATCCAAAAACAAAAATAACCACAATGTACATGACAAAACAAGATGGGTTCCAGTCAGGCAGGAAAGGGCTAGCCAATCAGACGAACAAGGGAGAATAAAAGTAGTAAAGTACCTCTGGTGTTCATAGTTCTTTGATAGTGTCATGTCAGATCCCGGAAATGTACTATGTACTCCAGAGAAATTTGCCATGGGAATTGCGCTGGGTGTGGAGCTGATCTTGGCCTCTGCGTGTGGGGGCTGAACAGGTCTTCTGTTGGTAGAGTTCTCCAGAGCCCAACTGCTGGCTCCTCACTGCTGCTTCATATATTTCTACATTGCTGATCTTTATTACTCCACATGCCCCAACTGGCTGTCCTGGGTCTGGTGGGTTCGGGTCGGTCCGTTTGCCAAAGGCATGTATACCCCGACTCTCCCGGGCTGGCCTGGGTCTCGTGGGTTCTGGTCAGTTTTGGTAGAAGATTTCTCAGTACACTTCCCAGTACCTCCTGTGTCCAGTGACGTTAGGGGTAGGCTGCCACTGTGCAGCTCAGCACTGGGCTAGATACAGATGCCAGCATCTTCCTGTTAAGCCTTATTTCATTAATCTTAATGCCGCACATGCACCCCCGCTAGTGCGCAGCCATAACAGAACAACTTGCAAAGTCAAAGGCATTTGGAGGAGAAAGGTGGAGTGTTGTTCTAAACTGCTTTGTACCTCAAAGTAAGCATAGCCAGTGCTTTTGGGGAAATACAAGGGAAGGCGATCTTGTCACCTTCTCCGAGATAGAAAACTAAGTGGGTATGTTGCCTCTGGCTTCAGTATCTCGGAAAAAAAAAAAATCTGTCTTTTCATTTTGTTACCATTCTCTAATACAGTAACTTGACGTTTCCACTTTGCAAAATATGAGACTCTGGAGTTATATGCACTTACAAACATACTTTTGGATAAATGATTCACAGTCTTCTATTATGTTTTATTTCTGTCTCATTGATTATCAAGCTTTAGTATAATTTTTTAAATGAGAATTTAAACTTAAGACCTTAATTCTAGGCAGTAGAGCTAAGAGATTTCAAATTTGTTATTCTTTCTATTGATAGTTCTACCCTTTAATATTTTTATAGATAATCAGCTACTATTATAAACTATTCTCCAATTCATTGTTTCTCTAATTTGTTATAGAAAGTATAACTTGAGTACAATAATGCATTATATATTTATCACAGAAATCATAAAGATAGCCTTATATTTGAACCTAAATGTCAATACGAATTTGTGAGGTCTTATTTTTATATGAATGCCTCCATTTTGTAATACATGTGGTATGTGTTTATATGTTTATTAGAGATACATTTAACTATATTTATATATTCACAGAGATTTATATAGAGGCATTAAAAAAACAAGCATAGTCAGTCATGGGTGTTCATTATATATAAAGGTTATTGGGGATGCAAAGATTTAAAAGATAGAAGAACCTAGTAATTGCCTTTAAGATCAGAGCACAAAGCATTAGTTTGGATTTTACAAGGCCAGCCAGCAACAAAAGAGCAGTAATTTATGAGCTCAGCGTAAAAGAATAGCATAATTGCATTAAAAATTAATGCTAATGAACACTAAAATGGGGAAGGTGGTTATGATGAAAGTTTGTATTCATCTTTCCTGGTTTGAATGATGGCTAGTGGCTTGATTAATGGCTTAATTTCTATCAATTAGCGGGGAAAAATCTCCTGCGAGACAAGGGTAAATTGAGCATTGAATTACATATCTTGCTTTTGTGTGCTAAGAAAAAAGAGCTGCGTATCTGTGATATTAGCCGCAGTGACAAATGTGGTGTGCCCCGCGATGTCTGCATTAGCTCTCCTGACAGGCGAGCTGTGTGTGGTTATGGGGTGTTCGGAGACGGCTGGCAGACAGCATTCAGTGCGAGTTCCTTAGAATACACAACTCTTCCATCTATAGAATTTTAATTAGAGTCAGTAAGAATTGAAAATTAAAATGGACAGTGAACAGCAGCTGTAGATTCTATATTCTGACCTGTTATACCTCGCATTGTATTCCTTCTCTCTACCCTGTTAAAATAAGAAAACTTCACATAGCTTTAGTGTTATTGGAATTGTTTCTTAGCACTCTTTTTAACTACACAGGTTTATTGCATTTAGAACAATGTAAAGCTCTAATATGTTTGGGCTGCATAGTGCTTGCTGGTTTAGACAGATTCACAGAAGTCGTTTTATTTTTGTAACAACAGTTGCTGTACAGTAAATGAACAACTCTAAAGTGATGATTTCCTACTTTGGTTGTTTATAGGCTTAAGGGAGAAATACTACATTTTCTGGAAACTTTTTATTCACTTATGAAGCATTTCAGAATATGACATACATAATTCTTTAAATATTTTCTCCAGATTTGAAGGATTCTGAAGACATATCCATAATCTAACTCAAGATAATGCCAGAAGGTCAAGATAATATATATGACATCTCTACATGTAAAGCTGTATTGTATTTTACTGAGTGAATAAATGCAGAAGAACAATACAAAAAACATTATTTCTAATAAATAAATAAGGTGGGGGAATAATTTGTTGGGTGGCAGGAGTGAGCAAAAATTCTTTTCACTGGGAAATAATGGTTAAATCGCAGTTCGGAGATTTAATCCCAGTTCTGCCACCAACTAACCATGTGACTTTGGCAAATTCCTCATCAACCTCAGTTTCTCGTCCTTACACTGAGAATGACAGGTTTGTCTCATGCAGTTTTGATCATCAAATGAGGCAATTTGTGTGAAGTAGTTAGCACAGAGTGCCTTAAATATTAAGTTTTCATTGCTGCTGCTTTTACTGCTTCTGCTGCTAGAACAACTCATCTGACTTTTTAAACAACTATTTAAATAGAAAATTAGTTTCCCTGGCTTTCCCTACTAGTAAAATGTTACAAATATTGACCAAAACCAAAATTTCTGTGGACTTACCCACACTAAACTAAAACATCTTTGCTTTTAAAATATGGTGTATCCCTACTTTGTAGTTTATAAGACAGCCATGAGCAAGCAGCAGAAGGTCCTCCTACCAAATCCCTGCAACCTGGATCAGCAAAATTTCTGCTTCCCCTCTCAGCCCAAAGCATCCGGGAGTCAGGATGGGACAGGACTGGGACGGGCCGGTTGGGCCTTCTCAGAGATGTGCATAGGCCTGTCATCCACTGCTCCCATCCCCTCTTCTGCTCTGATCGTTCGTGCCAGCCCGCATGAATGAATGTATACTACAGGATATGTGAGTCAAAGCCAATTACTACCTGGCTGAGCCCAACGAGTTTGCCAGCTTTAAAGTATACTGTTAGAAATGTATATATTCTAACTTCTAGCCAACTTTCATGTCATTAATACTATTAGTAAAGAAGCACGTTAGCACTTTTACTTAATAGCTGTCATTTATTAAGTGCGGTAATGACTCCCTAGCTCTGCACTGAGCACAGGTATTATCTCCCAGCTCTCCATGCTGGTTGCCTCACAACACCCTTGTCTCTGCAGCAGTGTCGCCGTTTCAGGAGCTTTTCCCTGATTACCCCAACGGAACCGCTGTCCTCCCTCTGCCCTTCTCCTCTGCTCCGTTTTCCTTGGTATTATGTTGTTTGTTTATTTGTTCATTGTTTGTCTCCCTCACTAAAACATAAGCTCCATGAAGAAAGAAACTCTTACTTAATTTCTAAATCCCTGGTGTGTATATTGAATGTGGTCAGATATTTGAAAGGAGAAAAGGAGTGCGAGGAGGGACTCAGCCGGCCTGCGATGCGTGGGCCCTTATTGTCCCCATGCCGCAGACAGGAGAGCTGAGCTTGAGCCGTTTGCTCAAGTCCACAACAGCTACTGATAGCAAAGAGAGGACTTAACCCAGACATAGTGAACCCAGAGCCCTTAAAACTAATGATTTGAAGACATTTAATTTTTTAAGGTGCAAAAACTTATAATTTCTAATCTTTTGAATTCCCCTGGGGTGTTTTATTTTTTAATGGCTCCTTTGTGTCCTTTAATTTTCAGTTACTTGATAAATGTGCATTGGCTGCTTACTAATAATAGAGCATCCTCCACTCAGCTCTGGAGGTAACGAAGAGGCTTGTCCCTTCTAGCTGGGGAAATGATGCTTTCATTTACAGAAAGGTTCATAGCGGTGTAAGATAGCACATGCTAAGAGCCATGTGAATTGTGAAAGAGCCCTTTTTCCAGGGGGTGGCAAGGAAGAGCATCACCAAAGCATAGACATTAGGTGCAGCCTTAAATGACAGGGAAAAATGAAAAAGATGAGATGTGAGAAAACCAAATGAGGCATTTCAGGTGCATTTTTGTCCTGAATAAAGCCTAGTCTGATGTCCAAATCACTTGCATTTATGTAAATGCTTAACGGAAATTATTTCTCACTGGAACAATAACATTAAAGTTTTTTCTGTTTCTTAACCTGGTGTGAACAGTTCATTGCAAGGTGAGTTTGTGTTGGACCCTGTGGGGTGGGGTGCGGTGGAGGGCACAGTGACTTTCATGGTTTGATACTGTAGCGTAAACTTCCAAAAGACTTAACAGACAAGCAGGACTCCACCTAAGAAAGTTTCTAATCTTTTAAGTTTTGTGTGTGTCAGTTCTTGAAATTCATTCCCAGAGGTATTATTGATCTTATGAACAAGTTTAAAGTGTTGGGATTGGATGGATTTCTAATTGTATGCTTTGTGTAATTTTTTAAGAAATATTAAAAATGTTCTGTTTAAAAAGGTAAAAAAAGCAGTGGCTATGTTTTGTTAAAATTTGTGTTAATGGGAAATTGTTTTAGTTAACTTTAGAGTTCCACGTAAGCTCGATGCAACATTTTACGTGCTTACAAAGTGTATTGACTAGCCAGCTTTACCTACAGCTTGCTGTGGTTTGCTTTTTTCATGCTTGTAAGGCACTTGAAAATGTTTTACATTACAAAGGTTGGGTTTTTTAAAAATATCTATCTTGTACCATAAAGGGAATTTCATAGATATTTTCCATTCTTGACTAAGATTTGAGTTAATTTAATCTGATAATAAGATAGTCTTTTGTATTATTCATGTGTTTGTAGCAATACTATTAGTATATAAATTTTTTTTCCTGGAAGCATAAGTAACTGAATAGCTGGGCCAACTGACCCAAATTCTTTGTAACATAAGATGCATTTAACTTTGGGGAAATTCATAAAATATTAATATTCAAAAGGAATCAGTTGAAGATGAGTTCTTTGTATGTGTTTAAGGTATCTTTCATGAAAATCAAGTTGCTTATTCTGTGATTACATCCAGAGCAATAGTGCCATCTGCTGTTACCAGCGTAGCATTGCTATTAGAGGATCTTGGCGTATGTTTGCAATCTACAAATAAGTATAGAATAAAATTTTAGTCTTTTAAATGAAAAGTTTACATTGGATCTTGTCATTTTTATTTAGTAATTTTAAATTTGTATACCAATTGATGATGTACTCAGAGAAAACTCTGTAGATGTTATAACATGAAATTAATTGCCAATTAGAACTTTAGTAGGAGAACCTAATTTATAATGATATAAGCTCAACAGTAACTAAGAAAACATTTTATTTTTTATTTTTATCATAAAAAAGAACAAAATATTTTCAATGCAATGAATTAGTATTGATTTTTGTGTTCTCTAGTGACAGGTTTTCTGATTCCATTTTTTATTTGACTGTGAAATATATATCTATTCTACTGACATCAGAGAAACATAGGGAAGTCATTTTATTTACCAGTAGTATGTTTATAGAAATCATTAAATGCTGGTGGATATCTTCACTTAATATTTACCATATTAATGTTTTAAAGCATCATGTAATTTTGATTCTCCCAGTAATGATGAACTTGTCTTTATTTTTATCCCATGGCTGATGATTACAAGGTATTTTGTAGGCTAGGTATTTATGTAGAACTAGCTATAAGTCACATTTTTCCCAATCTTAAAATCGGTACAGGATTTTTAAATAAATTGGCATGTATAACGTAAGAAACTGAATTTAAAGCAATGTAATATACATTATTGATGTGTTTTCTTCTGCTTCTAAAATGACAGGATTATACTGGAGACATACATTTGTGGACATTGGTATTAGAATTCTGGGTACAAAGCAATTTAATATATATTTTATGTCTACTGTTTTCAGAGAACACAGAGCTGAGCTATTATAAGGATGAAAATATCAGGAATCTTTCACATTTTAATTTAGCTATCACTCCTTTACAACAAGTAAACTGGTTCCCACATTGAAAGATAAAAGCTATGTTGGTTTATTTTCATATTGTGAGTCAGGCACACTGGCTTGCTTCTGTGTGCCCTGTACTTTGTTAGTCCTGAGGTGATTTTTAAAGAAGCACAAGGATAATGTTCTGCTTTCTCTAATCTTTTCCCTTCTTTCCTTTATAATTTCTGCAGTGCTGTTTTAATAAGCGTACTGGCCCTTTGGCCAGCTTCTATGATAACACTTTTATTTGTATTAGAAGCTGGTTGTGTTTCCAAATTTAAAGCTACAAACACTGAAAGCTTTAGACATCAGTACTGTTTGTAAGTTCACCTCTGACATTTAATACTAATGATGTGCTTTGCAAATCCAAATGAGAGAATATGTTATGGAAAAAGCCCAAGAGGTCCAGTAGTTGATACGTATGAGACATCATCCTGAAGTTAGAAATAATGTCTTTTGGTTAGGAATTAGTGATGGTGAGAGAATCCTAGTGAAACTAATTAGGACCTATGTAAACAAATGTTTTCATGTGGACATTAAAGCTGAATCACATGGGCTGGTACCCATTATGACTTTTCTCTGCTATATTAACAGTACTATAATGTCATTAATTTTAAAATTACGCACTTGTTAGGAATGTTTTAATATTGATTAATTAGCTGTAGAAAAAATTTCTCATGTCACATGCTCAGTTAGTACACTGTGTAATTAAAACCTAGATGAGCTTTTATTTGAAAGCACATGGAACTGTTTGCTCTTCTATGGCATTCGGACAGTACTCATGTAGGAAAATGTATTTTTCCAAAGATGGGGATATTATCTGTGGCAGCTGCTACTTCCAAGCATTCCATCACTGTTTCTCACATGAGAAAAGATTAGTTACAGCTGTTAGGGGCACATCTTCAGAAGAGCTATATTTCCCATAAATAAACTGAAGCTTGCATAAGACTATATAGTTATAACTTGTAGTTGGCCAAAAGTTGAGACAAGTATTTTAAAGAAAATGTTAATTTTTTTATTTAATTCTTGAAATGAAATTTATTTTCATACTCGTTATAATTATATTTATAGCAGCATGTAAGTTTTTCATTTTAGAACTGCGGGATGTAAAAATTACTTTGAGGCAAGTAATTCCACCTTCTTGTCAAACCAGTGACTGTAGTTGTTTCTTTAAAAAGTAGAGTTGTTCCTAGATTAGCTGAGATCATAATTAGCAGTCAGAGCCCATGAAATCCAAATCCAGAGTTGTAGGTGTCTTAACAGTATAGAATGGCTCCTACTTCAGCAATGTATTTGTATTAGCTTTCAGCAGGGTGTGAGCCACGGTACAGATTTTCTGCTCAGTTAGGACATATGTGAAAAAGGAAATGCAAAATAATGAAATGACACATGCATATGATTGTTTGTTAAAGCAAAAGGAAAACAAAAGAAACAGCTCAACCATCAGCATGCACTGGTAGAAAAAAAGTTAAAACTATAAAAGATTATTGTGCAGGGATGAAATAAAAGCAGGAAGTCTCTAAGCTGCTATGGAGTTTAGTGAAGCATTGAGTGAAAAAGTGCAACACACACGTGAGTGAGTGGTATACTACTTTTGTGTAATGAGAAGAGAATATATACTTATATTTTCAGAAGCAAACATTGGAAAGATAAACCCAAACATAACAGGAATGATTACTCATGAACTAGAGAGAGAAGTAGAGGCATGGGATAGAAAGGGAAACCTAGATCCCTCTGAATGATGATGTTTTAAATTTTGACCTTAAAGAAATCACAAAGCAAGATCTGATACTGAAAACTAACTAAAACAAATGAATCTAAGTATACCAAGTAGAGAGTGTAATCACATGAAGAATGATTTCAAGTCACTTAAGAGCATAGTGTTTTGACAGTTTATTAGCAGAGCAAATTCTCAGGTCAAAAAGACTGCAAAGAAATCTTAAACTACATTGATATACCTTGTTAATTATAATGGTTATCTTGTTATTTTGAAACTAGTACATATTTGGAAAGCCAAATGAATACTTTCAATTATTAATGCCTAAGATTTACAGGAGAATACCTAAATATAAAAGTAAAAGACTTCTACTGAAAATTCTGTAATCTTTAATTTGGTTGACAGTGTCAGCATGAATTCACATTGACTTTTCTTTTTACAAATATGTATTTCCAACCTCACTCAAAAGACTGAGAAGCAGTGACAATGTAGTGACAGTGAACACCACTGGTGCTTGGATTATTGTATCTAAATATCATTCCCACTAAAGGAGTCCAGACTTTGGGGAGAAATGATAAATTTTCATGTCTAGGACAGGAACTGTACAATGATTATGGCACATCTTGTCATCCTTAACTGTAAGGAATTGTTAAGCCTATTTGAAGAGGCTCCTACTGCCCACACTTGTAGCAATTTCAGCATCAAAGAAGGAAGATAATTACCATAAACTGACGTATAGTAAATCTGTATATAAGTATTCTGATTTCATGATGTCATTTTTGGTAACCTTTGAACCAAAATGGATGCAGAGAAAAAAAATTAAACATTTTTGTGACTTTCCTGTATAGGCTATATTTCATAGTCACTAAATAATCAATGAGTTTTGAGTTCTTCATTATAAAAAATTAGAGTTAATAAATGAGGGAAGAAGTAATGGGATTAGAAAATTACCGTTCAGCAGCCTCTAATGAAACAATTGATGTAAGAAGCAGTAATGTACCAGATTATCGTGTGAAAGAACGAAGACAGACTTTATAATGGGAGGGTCAAGCTGACAACACCTTGAACCCACTGATCAATCTGAACATCACCAAGTGGGGGCACGCACCTACTGATGTGATGCAAGAGGAATTACATAGCAGTACCTGTGATATATTTCTGATGAAAAGAAATTGAACCTAAATGTATCAGACCTTAAGATCTAATTTCTTGTCTACACAAAATACGGATAATTGAAGAACATGTTAAATGACACTATGAAGATGAAATCATTCATCCAGAAAGTAGAAAATTTTATGGAATCAAATATCCAGTTTCTTCAAAAGAAATGGCAAAGAAAGGGAAGGATAATGGACTATAAATGAAAAGAGATTTAAGATACCCATCAACCAAGTAGAATGTGTGATCCTTGTTTATATATGTTTCAAAAAAGGGAATTGTAAAAGTCCTTTTTAAGAAAATTAATGAAACTTAACCATGGACTATGTAAATGATATTAAGAAATTATTAGTAATATTTGTAGGTATGAAATTATACATGTTGTTGCTGTTAAGTCCTTGTTTGCCAGAGATGCTACGAAAATATTCAGAAATGATGTCATATGCTGTCTGAGGTACACTGTTAAGTGTTCTAGCCTCCCACCAGAAAGCACATTGAGGGGGAATGGGTAGAGTATATGAGAGTAACAGAAAGTTAATGATTTTGGAGATTGAGTAATGGGATTCAGAAACTGAATTAAGATTCATTGTGCTTTTATCCCTTTTAGATATATTTCCATGATAAAATGTTAAAATTTTTTAAAGCCCTCCTTCCATATTAACCTAGATTGGCTGAGATCATAATTAGCAGTGACTTCTCAGCAATATTTTAGGTTTTAGGTGAGAGACTTGGTTCCTGTGAATGTTGCATTTGTGAATCTTAAAGGGAAAAAGTTTCTTCTTATTGCTGAATGTAGTATCTTTTCATCCCTTTACATTTTTATAAGTAGTAAAGATTCTTCCTAGAAAAGAGAACACTGCTTAGGTTTTGTGTTGTTAACAAGCTTACACCAAAATACACTGATACGACGCCCTCTTTTTTTAGACCAAGCCACCCTGGTAGAACAAGTAAAAAGAGTTAAAGAAATTGAAGCTATTGAAAGTGATTCTTTTGTTCAGCAGACATTCAGATCAAGTAAGGAAGTCAAAAAGGTAAGTTATCATACAGGCCTTATGAATAAGCCTTTGGATTCCAACTGAAGATATGCTTTATTAGTGGATTTTAGTTAGATATAAGCGCTTCTTCTAATAGATGAAGTAGGTCGAGAGAGTTTTATTGAGAATCAATCAATGAGAATCAGTTAAACTTGTATAAAAATATAGTGTAAAAATGAATCTGATGCCATTTTTGTTATAATTTACCAACACTAAGATGTCAACATGATGGTTCTGTTATAATAATATGCATTTCCTAAACATATACAGTTATCTTTTAAATATTGATATCTGCTTTTTGAATTGACAGATGAAAGTTAAAAAAGAATTCTAAATGATAAAACTATTACCCAAAGAGAAACTTATATTTCCATCCTTTGCTCAAGTGTTTATCTTAGTCGACTATAATAAAAGGATCTGTGACATTTTATTTCTGTTGAATTTTTTATCTATCCTTTCATTCATTAGTACAATTGCTGTTATGATGTATATATGTTCCTTTACTAGGAAAAGGCAGTCTAGGAAATGTACTCTTTATGAACATTCATAATTATAATTACCACTTATTCTAAAATATTCTACATCTATAAATATATTAATGGCTAAAAATATCCTGAGGACAAATGTGATAATTCACTTATTTTTACTCTGATATTACATTTAAGTAGTTGTAAATTTTGAGATACTGCATATATGTTTACAAATATCCATTATTCTTAAATTTTTCAAGATGGACTTGTTATAGGTCACATTGTTTAACATGTTTCTAGATTCAGCCTCCAAAAATATTGCACCAACTCAAATTCCACTCAACAGGGCAAGGAGATGACTATCTCTTACATTGTGGTTAACTCAGGGTCCTGTCAGGCTGTTCTGTTTATCGACCTAACAAGTGAAAATTGACGTGTTGTTTTTATTAGCACTCCTTTATTACTAGTGATACGAAAGACCTTTCATTTCCATTTTTTTTTAAATAATTCATTCAGGAGATACGACTTGAGTACGTGATACATACCAAGCACAGAACTAGATAGCCTTGGATAATCTATAGTCCCTGGTTTGTCATCATGTGGATTGCCTTTAAACTTTTGGTAGTTTTCCATCATAGTTCCTAAATCATGGAGCCATAATGGACATTTGTAAATCTTACTGTTGCATATTGTAAGCACATTCATCTGTCCTAATAGAAGTGCTGTCATTTATTTTAAAATTGACTTTCCTGGTATTTGTTTCCTAAAGTTCACTGAGACCTCTCAGTTGTCACTGGACTCTCATAATCAGCGTTTTCTTTCTGTGAAAATCCTTATTCTTTTATACGTAATATGGCGGCTTTTCTTCAAAAACCACCTTTCCCCATTTGGTACTATTAATGTTCTCTTTGAACTTATTTTCAATAAGTTCTCTTCCCAAGAAGGCATGCATTGAAAGGTAAGAAATAGTTTCATAGAAGAATGTGCTGAAAAGCCTCAGACTAGCGTTTGCCTTGGTGAATGGACAGTAGTCTAAAGTCTCAGTCATCCAGCCCTGAGCTACCTTATTAGTAACTGCATTTTGAAATGATCCGATGAGCAGTGATAGGTAAACAATGGGTAAATCCACACTCGACTGAAACATAAGAGGGACAATTATTAGTTTAGAAAATGGCATCCCCTTCCAGTTTCTGAACGGTCTGTGTCTGCAGTATAAAGGCAAGGATTCAAGATGCCCAAGAAGCTGAATTATTTATCAGGAGATGACCTAGCAAAAAGAAGTAAATTATCTTGAGTATTTTATTCACATCACAGGGAGATATGACGGCTGTCCTTAATGCATAGCAGAGAGGAATTCTCTGAGGGCTACGTTACCACGGCCCAAGTTTCAGCATCTTTCCCTTCTGGATAGTGCTGCAACTGCGGGATAAAGTCTTTACCTCTAAGAACGCGTGTTCTACAGCAGCCACCCCTTCCGCGGGTAGTCTTTCTTCGGCTGTGTTAATTCCACTAATTAAGCTGCGGAGCTATCCAAGAAAAAAATGGCTATTACCAGTGACACGTAGACACTGTGTCTCCTCAAACACGTATTGATTTAACTAGATGAACTCTGAAATCATTTTTCTCTTGCCTGAGTGGATAGAGAATCTGATAGCTCCTGCTACTTCATTAACTTTAGGAGCCAAGATGAAGTTTGTTTGCAAGCAGCTGTCCTAGATGTGCTTCGTATCAATTATTCAGGCCTAATATTATTCTATCTGAGAAATAATCAGCCTGTGTTCAAACGGAGAGCAAATAATCCCATGCAGTGCGGGCTTTTGTTCATGGTAAGACTAAATTTTCCAAACTGCACCGCCAGATGGCAATGTCACCGAACGCCAGAACTCGTGGCAGTACCCAGGTTGAGGTTTGTTCTATCGTTATGGCAAAATTTTCTCTTGTGCTTTTCCTCACTTACAGAAGAAGCAATAAGTGATTATCTCCTTAATTTTGAAATCACTTACTAAATAATAATTTCCATTCTGTCATCCTAACCTTTGAGAGGGTTACCTTTAAAGTTTATGTGTACTTCTCAAAAATACATTAATCTATCATATAGGTAAAAACCGAATGAGATTAATTGGTTTATATAATAGAATTTTATTTCTTACCTGAAGACGTGGGATCTACATCTTTGACAGCTAACAACAGCACTCTGCATTTTTTCAAGGCAGTTGAACACAAACCGCCAGTCTCCCAGCTAAGCCCCATGTAGAGTGGCTGAGATGTGCTCAGTTACATGCTTCTAGAGCTACTGCAGGACAACACAGACTACCAAAAATCAGTCTCCTAGGCCTCGGTAGATTGGCACACTTGCTACTTTTCCCCACATAGAGTACTGGGTTTTACTATTAAACATACTCAGTTTTTTAGAGGGTCAGTGTATTACTTGGGGTCATGTACATTGTAGGCCCAGTGTACTAGAGACCCACAAACGTTTGGAAACTTAGAGGGGCGATTATTGGCTCTGAAATACGAAAATAAATCTGTGAGATCAAGTTCAATATTTCTTTAAATGTCTATAAAAACTAATATCATGCTTAAAATTAACATTGTATTAGACTGAGTATTTGTAACACCTCCACCTCTGAAAACAATTTGTAGAGTAGATTTTGCTTCCTTTGCAAGCATTCCTGAACAAACTTGATGACTGCTCAGAGGCCTACCATTCGGGGTCCTTTAGTCCACAAGAGTATGAATCTCTTCTCAGACCAGCTTCCATTAACATAAAAATTTTATTTTATTTTTTTGTTTTGTTTTG